CTTTGTGACTTTATGCATAATCATTACAAGAGGATCAATGCATATAAGTTTAAAATCTAACAGATTTCGATAAATGATAGGAATTTGGAATTCTTACATTTTCAATAAGGATTTGGGAGTGTGAAAAGAGAATCATTGAAATTATGTTCAATCGATCTAGTTCACAAAGTAAGGATCATAGACAAACATAGAGTGCATACTTGCTGTATGGCAAAGCTATTGTTTATAAAAACATAGTGTACATGCTTGGAGCATGGGACAACTAGTGTTTTTAATTCAAGTATAAAGTTGATAGTTTGAAACGGTATACAATGAATAATGTGTAATCAATATGGTGATAAATAAAAGGTGTTTTATTTATGTTCATAAGTTCTGAGACCATATGGGATTGGATTATTATTGTGTTTCATTTTGCATGTTTTGACTTCCAGGATAAACAAAATCATTCTTCATGAATGACTAAGTTATTCAAACCATCCACAGTCAGTCATATGTTGGAAGTAGATATGAATCAAGACTGTCATGGGTTGGCTTCTAGAGGTCTAAGATGTTGGACAAAGTGGTGATACAACATTCATGAGTGCTCATAAGTTCTGAGTATTGGATTCAACCCACGCTCATTGAATCACTTCATGGATTTTATCACGTTTGATCATGAGACGATAATATTTTATATTCTTCAAACCTAGAGATATGAGTTGTTACTATGAGTTGGTTATACATTGATTGCACGAAGACACATTGGTAACTCGATGTTATAAAACGTGCCTTTGTGTATGATTCAACAAGTAGTAGAACAAGCCATATGAGTCGAAGTTTATCCATTCCTTTTACCTTCGGGATAAAAGCGATATATGTGGTCCCCTCGATGATTTAATGATGACACATGTGAGTGCTTGGCCAAGCCAGGACTGATTTGATCTTTTCAATCAGTCAGTCATCATAAATCGAAAATCAGGAAATAACAGATGGACAGAGAGAATGATTTATAATCCATGTCTCAGTCCATATGATATCTAGAATGGAGGAATATATGATCCCTTATCTAATGGACAAGTCATTGACAAAGGTCAGAGATCATCGGCAAGGTCAGAGTTCGACAGAAGCTTTTGAGAGCTATGATTGCTAATCGGGTTATAAAGTCATACTTGTAATTATAGTTTTAGACTTATCCAAGTGGGAGACTGTTGGATTAATGTCTAAGTTCATAACTATATTTGGTAAGACTTGACCCGGTCCGACATGGTCCATTTGGGTTACATGGCATCGGGATAATTGGATAGACAAGATGAGGAAAAAGGATACTAGTTATTTGTATTAATATATTATAAATTAAAATATATTAATATATAATCATATTATTTAATTAGTATTGATCAAGAATTAATTTGTAATTAATTAAGTGATCAAAAGGAACTAATTAAATATGGACTCTTAGATATATATGTGTGATGGGCCAAGTTCATTTAGGTTGGGCTAAGCTTTCATGGATAGTCCATGGAGTGTTTAACCCATGGATCATATGAAATGAAAGGTCATGGGTATTAGGGTTTAACCCTAATCTCCACACTATATAAAGATGTCATTGGTTGGTAAAATTAAGACTAGTGTGTGAACACAAAAGGGCAAGGCCAATTTCACTAGAGAGAACCAAAGTATCCTTATTCTTAAGGTTATTCCAAGTGTTCATGGTGTTGTGTGAACCATTTGAGGTGTCACACTAGGGGCACTAGGCACTCAAGCTTCATGAAGACAAGTTACAACAACAAGGTATGTATTCTATCTATTTTATTACCCTTGTCTCAATGTTTTGGTATGCTAGTTAGGATAATACCTTTGATATTCATATTTGTATGTATAATAGAGAAAACATAGATCCAAGATATTTAGGGTTACATGTACACTTAGGAGTGTTAGAATGCTCAAAACCTAACACCAATTCTAAAAGTTTTAAGTTTTGAGGGAGAAAATATGAATGCCTTAAATATGAATGTTACAAAAGTGCTTAATAGGTAAGTGCAATGCTATAATAGGTAATTGTAATGATAAGTGCTTAATTTGTTTCGTAAATGAATGCTTAATGAATAGTTTCTATCGGTTTGTATTGTAAAGTGTTTAATAGGTAAATGCAATGCTATAATAGGTAAGTGCAATGTTATAATTGAAAAAAGAACAAATGCAAATTGTTATAACTGAAAAAAAAAATATTGAAAGTAAAATGCTATAATAGGAAAAAACAAAAAGAAAATTTTATAAATAAGATAAATATGAAAAATAAGTGAAAATATGTAACATCCCAAAAATCAAGACAAATTTTTTGTTTTTAAAACCATTCCAAAATCCATAAATTACACCAAAACATAGTTTTTAAAACCATAATCATGAATCAGAGTATCCCAAAATCATAAGTCAATAGAAATCTAGGATGATGTGCATAATAACGTGTTCGCCTTGCCCCTGTCCTCTAATGTACCTGAAACCCTAAAATCAAATTGTAAGACAAAGCTTAATGTGTTCCCCCAAATTACCACACACAACAACATAATACGACGCACGCAACCAAGCCTATAACACTAAGTTGGACCACCATCGAGCCTTCAGCTGCTAGCTGGACCGCACCCGAGCCTACAACATAAGCTGAAGCACTCCTTTAGGCCTAAAATATCAACCGGATCGCCCATGTGTCTTGGCCTTCAGCGCACAGCAGGACCGCCTCAACCCCCACAACATAATAACATGCTGGCATATGCAACTATAAATAATAGCCATCAAGTATAGGTAATCAAACAAATCTACCAGTTTAACATATCACTAGTGAATACAAGTAATTATATAGATCTACCAGCCTAACATATAATTAGCATACCATCATCCTAAATACTAGGATACATAACTTAGAGGGTCGACATTAGTGCCTTCGACCCAAGAGTACAGTGAGGAAAACTGACATGAATGTTCGAAAGATAGTCAAACTGAATGGTACTCCAAATACCGGCTCTACAGGTCACCTATACCGCAATCAAGGACCAAGCCTCAATCTACTACTTAATTCACTATATTTAACCTAAAGTTAAACTTGGTCAATGGACAACGATCAATGGTCAAAATCCACGCTCAAAATTCATATAGCTAGTCATTACGTTGTGACCATCTAGTGGTCACTTCGTCACCTAATACGACGAGATAATCGGGTTATTACATTCTCACGTCGTGAGCTACAAGTGCTCACGTCGTGAGAAGTGCTTTAAAAGGTTGATGCAATAAGCTCTTAATCCTTTTAGACAAATAACTAAAACTTCCATAATATATTATCTACTTCAAAACATCATAAAGATAGTGGATTTTTGGACATGCATGTCCTAAACACAAGCTAGGGAACAAAAGGAAGAAATAGTATTAGGAACTCATGCAAGAGTCTCAAAACCCAACCATACTTTAGGCCCAACACTTATATCATCAAAGAGATCCATAAATTTGGCAACTTTATGGACCCCAAACACTATATCAACCTAGACATGACAGATAATGCATAAAAACCTAGATCTAAGCTTATTAACTCATAAAGCGTTGAACTTAAAACTTACAATGGTCCAGAGGTGTGAAGATGAATGATTGTGAGGCTTTGAATGTTGAGATTGTGTGCTAGATGCTCTTCCTCTTCTTCTTCTTTGCTAAAATCACCACAAAAGCGCTCAAAATAAATTATGGGTGCTAGGGTTTCAAGGGCGAGTATTAGGAGGTAATAAAGTTCGAGGGCGGCTAACCCTAGCTCTTACTTCTTTTAAATATTGACTAAATCCCCTAAAATTAAGGTTTGCCTCGCAGCTAGGTCTCACGTCGTAACCCATAAGGGCTCACGTCGTGAGTCTAAAGGGATGCGTGATTCTTCCAATTGGGATCACCTTGTGACACCTAAGTGCTCACGCCGTGATCAGGGTTTAATCTTTAAGAATTTAATCAGAAATTTCAAAATGGTGCTTACCTGGAACTGGGTGTTAGAAAATAGAATGCTTTAATAAACAAACTAACAAAAGTATGCTGCTATTAGATTAAACCTAATAACAAATGTTATTAATAACAATGTACTTTTATTAGTTTGTTTATTACAACATCATATTTTCATTTATTTTTTATATTTATAATAGAAAATAAAACAAAAAATTAATAATTAAAGTACAATGTTATTATTATGTATAATCTAATAACTTAATTATTTAAAGTACAATGTTATTACAAAAAAAACCAATACCTCAAAAGAAGTGAAATAGAATGCTTTACTAAACAAACTAATAAAAGTACGTTATTATTAAACAAAACGTAACTACAAATGTTATTAATAGCAACATACTTTTATTAGTTTGTTTACTAAAGCATTCTATTTTCATTTCTTTTTATAATTATATTAGAAAACAAACTAATAAAAATATGTTATTAAAAGTACGATGCTATAATGGAAAACAAACAAAAGTTTGATGTTATAATTAACAAAAGTATAAAAACACGTTGAATCATAGATTTTAAGTTTAAATCACTTCTTGATATTCATCTAGAGCCTAGAAATACAACGATAATGATGTTGTACTTGATTATTGTTGTAGTGATGATTCTAATTAACGATATCTTACGGTTATTATATATTCTGATAATATTTGTTAAATTTTTAAATATTGAAGTTTTGTTTATAATATGTTTATTATATATTTTGAATGTTTATAATATTTTTTAAATTGATGTAAACACATATCACGAGGGGGACACGGAGGAGAATATGAGAACAAAAATATTAGTAAACCACTAATTTAAAAAATAAATAAATAAATAAATGAGAGTCTGTAAACAATAGAAAAAACTTATCGTGTAACTTACTCTATTTGTTATTTTCACGGGCCTCGTGGCCCAAAGATGCAGCCCGGAGTCTCCGATCCGGATGCAAGTTAAACCGGACTTTAAATGTGAACAACTTAAGCCGGGTCGCATGGTAATCCCAACTGCCAAGTATAATCAGTTTAACGCTACACTCATACACAGTGTAGTCGAGTCGAGAACTTTCTGCCATAATCGGGAGCTTTTTCACTTTTTCATCTCTTACGATCATTCTCTATAAACCCTAACAAAATCATTAACAAATCCTCTGTTCTCGATTTTCTCCTCTCTGTTCGTCTAAGGAGACATGCCTCCCAAAGCAGCTAAATCAAAGGAGGCACCGGTGGAGAGGCCAATCCTCGGACGTTTCTCTTCTCATCTTAAAATCGGAATTGTGAGTTCCTTATAACATTTATCAGTATATGGTCATAATGTCATTGATATATCATGTTTATGTTGATCGAGAATTTAATTTATTACAGTTGAGGTAATTTTTGGTTAGTTTGAGAAGGAAGGTGATAGGATTACTGTAGGAAATCATAGAATCGAAGCTTTTCCGTATGATTGTTTCTAACATTTTCGTTTGAAATTATTTATGTATTTGATCGTTTTTTGGTACCTAATTGTCCTGTAATGGAGATTTCATTCATATCTTCTTATTTTCATATTGATTTCAGGTTGGATTACCGAACGTAGGAAAGTCTACACTTTTCAACACACTCACAAAGTTGTCTATTCCAGCAGAGAACTTCCCATTCTGTACAATTGAACCTAACGAGGCACGTGTTCATATTCCAGATGAGCGATTTGAGTGGCTGTGTCAGCACTTCAAGCCAAAAAGTGAGGTATGTCCTATGTCCTGTGTTCAGTATCATATACTTTGCTTAAAGATTTATGTTATCTGTTGATTGTATCAAAATGTTTTGACCTTAATCACTCAAAATTGCCAATTTTGTCCCTATGATTTAACTTCTACAATAATTCATTGTTAACTTATCTTGATCATCATTAAGCTGCTATCATGCGCATTACTCTTAATTGGTTGTGCAGGTGTCAGCGTTCTTAGAGATACATGATATAGCTGGGCTAGTTAAAGGTGCTCATGAAGGACAAGGGCTTGGAAACAATTTTTTATCTCACATTCGTGCAGTTGATGGCATATTCCATGTTTTACGTAAGATATAGTCATCTTTTGAGTTAAATTTTGTCAATTTTTATAGGTTATCTGAGTTTTTTCTTCAATGTAATTAATGTTAAACACACAAGAAGACATGTAATTTTACATATGGTCATGTAACAGGTGCATTTGAAGACCCTGATATCATACATGTAGACGACTCTGTGGATCCTATAAGAGACTTGGAAGTTATAACTGCAGAATTACGGTTGAAGGTGTGCATCAATATTCTTCTGATTGTTACAATCTTTTGTTCTTGAGTTTTTGATGAATGATTTGGATGATAAATTCTGCTATCTTTTTGTATGTTTAAAGGATATTGAATTCATGGAAAGAAGGATTGAGGATCTTGAAAAGATCTTGAAGAGGAGTAATGATAAACAGGTGAAAGTGGAACATGAATTATGCCTCAAGGTATTGTCATTTTCTTCATAAATACTTGTAGTCATTGATTATTTCACTGATCATTTGCTTAATCTAAGAATACTTTTTGATTAAATATATGACAGTGATTATATCTACTTCTGTAGGTCAAAACATGGCTCATGGAGGATAAAGATGTCCGATTAGGGGACTGGAAAGCTGCTGATATTGAAATCTTGAATACCTTTCAATTGCTTACAGCAAAACCTGTTGTTTATTTGGTAAGATAATATATTAAAGGAATATCTATTATCATTTATCATATATAAGTTTTCTTATAGAATAAATGAATAATGCATTGTATCTACACTTTTGTACGCCAACTACTGTTTACTTGTACTTTGACCAATAGTCCAGGGGTATTTTGGTCAATTGACACTTGTCCATCAACCCACAAGTATGTTTACTAAAAAGTCATCATGGTAAGATAACCAGAATATCTATCAACATGTATAGGTTTTCTTGTTGAATAAACGAATAAAGCATTTTATTTACACTTTTGTTCGCAAACTACTGTTTACATGTATTTTGACCAGTAGTCCAAGGGTATTTTCGTCATTTGACACTTCTTCATCATGGTGAACTTTGTTGGTAACTAGATAAGCTGTGTTTATTGGCTCTTAACTAGGGTTTATTTTGTTGTACAGGTCAACATGAATGAGAAAGATTATCAGAGGAAAAAGAACAAATTTCTTCCCAAGATTCATTCTTGGTATGTAAGCTCTCACTAATCTATAACATAGTATTTGATATTTGGTGCATATCTACTTCTATTATGGCATATGAACCCCAAAGGGTAGATGGGTCATTTGGCATACCTTTCTTATTTTTAAGAATAAACCTTTTGTAGGGTACAGGGGCATGGAGGTGAGCCTATTATTCCTTTTAGCTGTGCCTTAGAAAGAAATTTAGCTGATATGAAACAAAATGAAGCTGCAAAATACTGTGAGGACAATAAAGTACAAAGGTGACTTCATATTTGACCTTTCTTGAAAATTGTAAGATTCTGTAATGAATTCCATTAGTTATGTAAATGATAAATACAACAATTAATATAACAAACACTTTAATGAATACCAAAAATGATATAATCTAGTTTTGATTTGTTGGATATAGTCTGACATGGATTATTATTCTATAGTGCTCTTCCAAAGATTATAAAGACTGGATTCTCAGCTATCAATCTTATATACTTCTTTACTGCTGGCATTGATGAGGTAACGAGGGTATTTTGGTCTTTTTAATAAAAAAGTATAGAATGAAAACCGAATGTCTTCCACCTCCCTTGGTGAAATCCATCAAACATGTTATTCGAAAGATTCCGATGGAATTGAATTTTGTCCATTTTGGCAACCAAACACACCATGGAATGGAATCCCGAATTCCATTCCATGATTCCAATTCCATCAAAGTTATATACTTCTTTAATGCAATGCAGGTGAAATGCTGGCAAATTCGAAGGCAAACTAAAGCTCCTCAAGCTGCAGGAGCAATTCATACTGATTTTGAAAGAGGATTCATTTGTGCAGAGGTGATTTCTTGCATATTTTATTTAAGGGTTAATTTCAAAAAAGACCTTGTATTTTGTTTTGTTTTTTTTTTCCGGATTAAACCTCAAATTTATTTTTTGCCTGAAAAAAACCTTATATTTTTCATTTTTTTCAACCTTCTAAATGCTTCCAAATAAACCCTAACCTTTTTTAGTTTTTCTCGAAAAAACCCTCACAGTTTACAATTTTTTTGGCAAAAAAGGGTTAATCACTTAATCTCATAAAAGACATTACATTTTGTGTTTTTCCGGATGAAACCTCAAATTTATTTTTTGCCTGATAAAGTCCTTGTATTTTTTCATTTTTTCCGATTTGGCCCTTTTAGTTATTTTTTACCAACAAAAAATTGTAAAATGTGAGGGTTTTTTCAAGAAAAACTAAAAAGTTGAGGGTTTATCTGGAAGCATTTAGAAGGTTGAGTGTTTTTTTTGGAAAAAAAAATACAAAGCTGAGGGTTTTTCGGGAAAAATAAAAAATACAAGGTCTTTTTCAAACAAAAAATAAATTTGATGTTTAATCCGGAAAAAACACTAAATATAACGTCTTTTTTAGAATAACTCAGCAAAAAATGACTAAAAGGGCCAAATCAGAAAAAATTGAAAAATATGTCTTTTTAGACAAAAAATAAATTTAAGATTTAATCTAGAAAAAAACACAAAATATAAAGTCCTTTTTAAGATTAACCCTTTATTTAAATTTCAAGCTATCCTCATGTGGAAATTTTGTTCTTCTTATACACATAATATATATATATATATATATATATATATATATATATATATATATATATATATATATATATATATATATTGTAGGTAATGAAGTTTGATGATCTTAAGGCACTTGGAAGTGAGGCTGCTGTTAAGGTACTCTTGTTCTATATCCGCCCTTATGTTTTTTTTTTTTTTTTTTTTTTTTTTTTTTTTTTTTTTTGTTATTAAGACACTGTGCTTTGAAAATCTATGAGAAAAAAAACCAATGGAAGTAATTTCTTTCTATTTTGTATACAAAGCTTGCACTTGTTAATAATTTTTGGTTTTTTTTTTTTTGTGTGCAGGCTGCAGGGAAGTATAAACAAGAGGGAAAAACATATGTGGTACAAGATGGGGATATAATATTTTTCAAATTTAATGTCTCTAATGGTGGAAAGAAGTGATATTACTACATATAAAGGAGTTACTTTGACTTTTTCTTGGGGTTTGACTTGATGAATTCTAATTGTGGATTTTTTTTAATCCGTGGATAAGTTGGTACATTTACCCCTATTTATTGAGAGAGCAAATTAGTTAATTAAACATAACAGAAAAAAATTTAGTAAGCTAGCTGACCACATCAATTACTTCAAGTAATAAATATTTAATAAAAACAATGTTATGTTAAAAGGTTAATGATTTATCACAATGTTATTAATAAGTTGTAAGGCTGGATGGAGTGGTATCACTCTTACCACACTCCCTTCAATGTCATGTAAGCGATATGTCAGTTTTTACCACAAAAGTATGGTTTCTTGCTGCACACAAGGATTGATGCAACACTTTTTTATTAACAATTTAGTTCAAATAAAAACTTCATTTTTAATAATAAAAAAACATAATATATCATTACTTCAAAAAAAAACATTACATTGTTTTACTTCAATATAATATAACATAACATTAAAAAAAATCATAAACACTTAGAAAAAAAAAATATCTTAAACTTAGAAACTTAGAAAAAAACATCAAATAAGAAAAAATAAATACTAAAATTAAAATAAAACATATTATATGAAGTCTTCATCTGAGAACTCGTCTTTCGAGTATTCTAGGGGATCCAAATTGAGGTTAATATGTTAAATCTCGTAGATGTGTTCCACAAAGTCCATGTGAAGATTATGAAATGTTTCAGTGTTATGTATCTCTGTTTTCCTATCTATGTACTCATTGCCACCAATTTTTATTGGTTGTGTCTCGGGGATGCTTTCATGCTCGTCATACGTACATATCGCTCTTCTTTCATCTTCAATAATCATATTATGCAATATAATATATGCACACATGACTTCTTCAAGTTTTCTCTCGCTGAAAAAAATTGTTGGTTTTTTCAATATATACCAACATTTCTTAAGAGCTCTAAAGGCCCGATCGACATCCTTCCTAGCTATTTTTTGAGCTCTCTTGAATTTTTTCAGACTAGAATCTTGTGGACATGAAAATAATTTAACAAACACATCATATTTGGGATAGATCCCATCAACAAGATAATAGCAATATATGTTGTTAAATATATGTGAATGATAAAGAACGTTGATGTCGTTAATCGAACCGGGGGAACAGAAAAAAAAAAGCATGTCAAATCCACTGATCTTGTGACGTCACCGTTTAAAGTATGACCGTAGGGTGAGTATGATTATCTCGGCTAAAATGACGATGATGTGAAATAGGGCAATTTTCCGATCCTAATAGAGATAATCTAACCTTCCTATCATTTTAGGAAAGCCATATACACTAGCATGATGAGCTTGTAATTGTAAGATGTCATTGTGTGTAGGTCATCATTATTATATGAATATTATTTAACTAACTTTTTTACTTTTACTTCATTATAATCTAACTACTATTGCTTTATTATTTAATAATTGCATTTTTATTACTAACTTTATTAATATTAATAATTTTAAACTTATTTTTTATTATGATAATAAAACAATAATAATATTGTTTTTATAATGTTATAATATAAATAATATTATAAAAAATAAACTTTCATCAACTTTTTTAACTTAATAAAAATTTTCCATTTCCATAAACCTAATATCATTGATTGTAAAAAAAATTATAATATTATAAGAAAAATAAATTTTGAACATATCTTCATCGTTTTTCTTTAAATTTTAAATATTACAAAACAAAAATGTGAGAAAAAAAAATAAACAACAACTAATCATCTATAGTCACGTTTTACATTTTGTATACACGTGATATACAGATGAGATGAATCTATAGATTAAAGAATCCTTTGTTAACCAATAAAGATTAAAGAGGTTCGTTAAATTTTAAATAGTGATCATTAACTTAAAAAATAAATTAGGATTGAAAAGATAAGATATTGATCCATTCTTCCCAATAATTAATTTATAACTTAGAAGCTTCATTTTCAAAAATTTATAACTTTATAATTTGCAATTCATAAAATTTAAAATAATTATAATAAAAATAATATGGCCTATGGATTGAAATATTTAGATCATGTGATGTATACTCTTTAAACCACACAAAAGAAAAAAAAAATAGAAAAAGACAATGAACACAAAGTAGAAAAGAAGTAGCGAGTTAAAGGCTTTGAGCTTTGAGGAAGTAAAGTTTAGACCTTATTGAAGGTTGATAATATTGGTTATGAGATCTAAGCCCTTGATTCGCATGCTGGAACCAAGGGGTAAAATGGGAAAAGTTTATGTCTGGGCTTCTTTTCATGGATTATGGTTTTAGTTCGACATATGTTAAGCCAAAAGTAACTAGATAAGACCATGGGGCTCTTTAATACCTTTCCGTAGATATATAGAAACTCAAAACGGAGTTAAGACAAAGAAGTTATGGTTGTTTGAAGTTGAATCGATAATTGGGGGTTTTTCCCTATGCATGGTGTAGGATGGCTACACATGACATAGAAGCTGAATGAGGAACGAAATGTTAATGATCTATACATCGCATAGATTTTGCTACGTAGGGTGTAGCTGCTGCTAACCAAAACCTTAACCCTAAGGTTTTGGGCCCTATTTAAGGACTCTAACTTCTTGGAACCCTTCCCATTACCAGCCTCCATCACCTTATATCGTTCTTTTGAAACCCTAACCGTCAATTGTGAGTTTTGGAAGCTTTCGTGTGATTTTTTTTCGTGTATTCTTGAAGAAGGAGTTCATTAGAGAAGCAAGTAGGAACTCCAAACTTTATAGATCTAGACTTTGCATTTCATCACCTATCTCCAAAAGGTATAAAGCTTGCATCTTGCTACTCCTTTTGTTAGATCTAATTAGCTCATAGGTTTTATGCTTTTTGTTCCTTAACCTTGGTCTTTATAGGTATAAGCTACTCCCAGACCGTATGGGTGTCATTTCTTGATGTTTCTAAGCTTGTAGAGTCATAAAAATGGGAGCTTGGTCACTCCCATCCATCCATGCATAAGCTCTTGAGCATTAAAGGGTGTTTTGGGACTTAGGGCTTGGTGTTATGCTATTTTAAGCCATGCATATGGATAAAGTCAAAGACTTTATCCATTAAGACGTCTATCTACAATAGATCTGGAAGTTTGGAGGGTTAGCTTTCCGTATTAAGCACTTAATGGAAAAGTTGGGACCCAGCATGCTACGTTGGGCGTAGCCCCAAATTTGCACGTTATGTCGCCTTTAGCTCTACGATGGGCGTAGAACATCATGTACGCGGGGCGTAGGTCAAATGAAAGTTGATTGTTGACTTTGACCATGGTTGACTTTTGGTCAAGTTGAGAGTTTTGGGATTATAAATTGAGACTCAGTCTCTGTTTATGGCATAGGTGACTCGTAGTGCTGGTGCTTGGAGTCGTGAGAGTTGTTGTGATATATAATGGGCTGAGAGGTGGGTTTCTCACTATACTCGTGAGTCAAAGGCACCAATGTCGACCCACCAGATTATGTTATGTATCCTTGTGTATAGGATGTTGCTATGCTATAATGGTCTGTTAGATTTATAGATATGTACGATTATCTGTATTGTTGGTTATTGTTTATCTGTTTGCATATGTTGACGTAATGTGGTTGGGTTGAGGCGGTACTGCTTTATGATATACACCAACCAACACGGGAACAATCCAGTCATAAGATGAGGGTCGGGAGGGAATTCCAGTCTTATACTGTGGGCTTGGGGCAATCCAGTTTTATACTATGGGTCTGGTATGCATGTATTGTTGTGTGGGATATTTTGGGGGAACTCAGTAAGCTTCGTGTTTATCCAGTTGTTTGTAATTGTTTTTCAGGTACCATTGGTGATTATGTGAAGGCAAATGCATGATCGTACAAATCCTCATGTTGATTTATACTTAAGAGACTATTTGATCCTCCGACTCTATGGCTTTGATTTGAAACAATGAATGATTATCTTATGATTTTATGGAAATGTTTTTAATAAAAATAAAAAATGTTGACATGTTTTCTCGGATGATAAAATATATGGAACAAAACCACACAAATATCCTAATTTTAGTTCTCCGGAACAGACCTCCAGAATGTATGACCATTTCGAAGTATAGACTGGAATGTAACGGGTGTCAGATTCCGGACCTAATTCATACCAACCTGCAACAGACCCGGGTCAAGTCTAGAATATTCTTACATGCTCTAATACACTATTATGGAGTAACTTGTCATTTCTCAAAAAAAAAAAAGTTACTTTTATTAAAAAAAAACTCATTTTTAAGGGTTAGATTACTAAATTTATGTCAAATTATAATCATGAAGTTATAAATTATTGTTGTACTTATTGACACTAACAAAAACTTATAAAGCTAAGGATATTTTACATTTATATTAGAAACCGGATTTCTTATTTGTTTCTCCACGTATAGTTATTTTAATTTCAAAGATTATAAAGTAAATAAAATTTTAGTTTTACTAAACATTAATTAATCGATTATCATTAAAATCGAAATCTATTATAATCACTATATATTTATCCAACCCCTCTCGAGCTTACTAAGGAAGACAACGGAAGTCCGCGTGGTAGCTAACATTTTCTCCCAACGGACCACGATGATTGATCTGAATGAAGCTTTCAAACTTCAGAGACTGTCTTCGCGAAGAATGCTTCCCCATGAAGTGATGAGTAAAAGCAAATTCTCATTGTTCACGAGGTCTCAACTTGGTTGTTCTTAGATCCAAAGTCAAACAATTCTGGCCAACCAGAACGTATAATTTGAGTTACAGGTTAATGGGTTTCCCTCGATCCTATAGTATAATAATAACATGGGATCATATATGGTTCATACAACATCAAAAATCGCGTCGCTTGCAAAATGGGGGAAAGTTACTTGTGCACGTAAACTGTTCGATGAAATGCCCCAAAGAGACACAGTCGTTTGGAACACAATGCTCACTTCTTATACTCATCTTGGTCTTTTCCAAGAAGCTCTGTTACTCTTCCACGAAATGACAGGAATTAACAGCATCAAACCTGATCATTACTCATTTACTGCAACTTTGAGTGCATGTGCTGGCTCAGGTAAGCTGCGTTATGGACAAAAGATCCATGCTTTGATTCTTTCTGCTGGATATTCTTCACTTCCAGTGAACAATGCCCTAATTGATATGTATGCCAAATGTTTGAGCCCTTTTAGTGCACATGATGTGTTTGAAGAAATTGAGATAAAAAACAATGTCTCTTGGTGTTCATTGTTGTTTGCTTATGTTAACTCCAATCAATTTCAATCTGCCCAAAGTGTTTTTGACGCTATGCCAAATAGGGTGAACATTGCTTGGAATACTCTGATTGCAGGTCATGCTCGACATGGCAATGTCAATTCTTGTATTAAATTATTCAAGAGGATGATGACTGAATCATGTGATGAAATTCAAGATCAATGGACATTCAGTGCACTCATGAATGCTGCTACTGAATCACAAGAATATCACATTGGTTGCATGTTTCATGCTATTGTCATCAAGAAAGGATGGAATTCAGCAGTTGAAGCAAACAACTCAATTCTTAGTTTCTATGCACATTTAAGTAGTCCAGAAGATGTACTGAAAATCTTTGAGTCCATTCACACTCTCACTCAAGTTTCTTGGAATGCAATAATAGACGCGCAAATGAAAATAGGAAATACCCAAAAAGCCCTTATCGCATTTCACAATGCTCCTGAAAAAAACGTTATTTCATGGACTTCAATGATATCAGGGTATGTTAGAAACGGAAATTCTGAAGAAGGAATACGTTTTTTTGTCAATATGATAAGATCCAACCTCCTTCCTGATGATTTTTCTTTAGGAACAGTTCTCCATGCTTGTTCTCTCATGGCAACATTAGGCCATGGAAAAATGATTCATAGTCTTGCAATTCGACATGGATTTCACTCTTATGCTTATGTTGGAAATGGATTGGTTAACATGTATGCAAAATGTGGAGATATTTTTAGTTCTTTCCAATCTTTCAATGATATAATCGAAAAAGATTTGGTTTCATGGAACACAATGTTGATTTCCTATGGTCTACATGGATGGGGTGATAAAGCCCTAGAGATTTATGACAAAATGATAGCATCTAATTTGAAACCAGATAATGTGACATTCATAAGCCTTTTAATGACATGTAGCCACTTAGGGTTTGTTGAAAAAGGTCGAGATTTTTTCCAATCGATGAGTGGGGTCCACGGGTTGTGTCCTGAGGTAGAACATGTGGCATGTATGGTGGATATGTTGGCTCGAGGAGGGGAGTTGGAAGAAGCAAGAGAGATGGTGGAAAGTTACAGAAGGAGACATGGTGAAATGGGGAAATTGAGTGAGGGTGTTTTTGGAGCTTGTTATGCACATGGTGAGTTGGAGATGTTGGAAGGTGAAAGTGAGATGAGTTATGTGGTGCTTTCGAATTTGTATTGTGTAAAGGGGAAGTGGAAAGAAGCTGAGATGGTTAGGAAGGCTATGGCTGATGAAGGGGTGAAGAAGATGCCTGGTTGTAGTTGGATTGAAGTTAAGAACAAGGTGGTGGCTTTTGTTGCTGGTGGGAGTTTATGTGTAGAGAATGATGACATGTCTTCTTTTATATATTTGCTTGAATATCAATTGAAGAATCCATGGTGATGGAAGTAATTAAAGATGATGTAGAGTTTTGAGATCTTTTTTATCTCCGAGTTTAAGTTGAAGATCAAGATGGAAATATAAACCTCAAGAGAAGTAGAAACTAAGAAAGGCACACATATGGTGACTATTGAGTGTATTACGTGAGAAAATCAAATTCTATAGGAGAATATCAAGCAATGAGGAAGCTTGTGGATTTGTGTAAAGATTGATCTTCAAAACGGTCTGATGATGGAAACATTTATGTGTGTACATTTATAATATGTTTGTCTAAGAACATTTTCCATAACATTATTTTAAAAAGTAAATAGAAGTAATTTTGCTCATTTTATTTATATATTATTTAAGGGAAATTGAGTAAACTAACTAATCATACCTCTGTAAGTTTTTTGATCAACTGCTAGAGATCTTACGAGTAAAGGTCATTGGTACTTTTACGAGAGCACTGTATTCCATGTTAAACTTTTCAACATGTCTTTAATGTAGCGTTCTCGATGAATATTAAATAAAGGTACATTTAGTGGTTTGTTTCACTTGAAGACCTAGAAAGAAGCTTAGTTCTTTGTTCATGCTCATTTTGAATTTGTTGGTCGTTAACTTTGCGAAGTCTTCTACCATTGTTTCATCTGTAGAACCGAATATTATGTTATTCAAGGCTCGTTTCAAACCATACACAACCTTATTTAGTTTGTAGCAGTAATATTTTCACACCCTCAGCTGGCGACGGAAATGTCGAGTTGTGCGACGTAGAGATAATTGGATCGAGGGAAATATATATATATTATATATATATATTATATATATATATATATATATATATATATATGTGAACAATACACAAAAATATAACACAAACACTACTTTTTATTCATTATAATTTATTCTGGAGTTACATTGTTTGGTAGATCAAGCACACTTGTAACATCGCACAAATCAAGGTAAATTTTTCATTTTCAAAACCAAGCCAAAAACATTAAATCTTTACAAAAAACATAGTTTCCAAAAGTTATAATCGTGAAACAGAGTATCCCAAAATCAAATATCATAAAATCCAAAGGGTGTGCATGATCAAGCCTTTGCCTTGCCCCATCGTCTGAAGCACTGAAACCATAACAATTAAACTGTAAGTCAAAGCTTAGTGAGTTCCCCCAAAGTACCACATAGATAACAACATGAAATATGCCTTAAGCCTGAGTGGACCGCCTCGCACGACCTACAACCTATCTGGACCGCTCTCTGGTCCTTCGGCTTGAATGGACTGCCTCTCGGGCCTTTAGTCTATCTGAACCGCCCCGATTATCTTGGCCTTTAGCACAAAGCAGGACTGCCTCAATCCAACAAACCATAACATGTCGACATATACAACAACAATGAAAAGCCATCAAGTACATGTAATCATATAGATCTACCAATATAACATATACTCTGTGAACGCAGGTACATATCTACCAGTCTATCACATAACGAACATACCATCAATCCAATATACCAGGATATATAATCCAGTGGCCCGATATTCGTGCCTTCGACCTACGAGTAATGTGAGGAAAACTCACCTCACAGTTTGAAAGATAAAAGAAATGAATGCTGCTCCAAATGCCAACTCTACAGGTCACCTATACAAAAAACAATGACCTAATCTCAAACTATTGCTTAATTACCCAAAATACCCCTAAGTTAAACTTGGTTAAATTCCTGATCAAAGTCAAAGTCAAAGTAAAAAATACAAAGGAGTCAACATAGATTGAGTACGCCTAACATACTTAGCCTCTACGCTTAGCGTAGAAAACCCTTGGCCAAAATACGAGACCTTAGCCCAGTACGCGTAACGTACCACAAGGTACGCCCAATGTACTCAACCTGATCCAAATGTTCCTCATTAAGTGCTTATCGCATCACGATATCACGTCCAAAGCTCAGATCTAGTCCCACATATCATTCTAAGTCATAAAGTTTCCAACTTTATGACTTCCCATGGCTAGTAGTGGTCCAAAAACCAAAACTCTAACTTAAAACACCAACCCAAGCACCATAATTCTTTAGGAACAGTTCTCCATGCTTGTTCTCTCATGGCAACATTAGGCCATGGAAAATGATTCATAGTCTTGCAATTCGACATGGATTTCACTCTTATGCTTATGTTGGAAATGGATTGGTTAACATGTATGCAAAATGTGGAGATATTTTTAGTTCTTTCCAATCTTTCAATGATATAATCGAAAAAGATTTGGTTTCATGGAACACAATGTTGATTTCCTATGGTCTACATGGATGGGGTGATAAAGCCCTAGAGATTTATGACAAAATGATAGCATCTAATTTGAAACCAGATAATGTGACATTCATAAGCCTTTTAATGACATGTAGCCACTTAGGGTTTGTTGAAAAAGGTCGAGATTTTTTCCAATCGATGAGTGGGGTCCACGGGTTGTGTCCTGAGGTAGAACATGTGGCATGTATGGTGGATATGTTGGCTCGAGGAGGGGAGTTGGAAGAAGCAAGAGAGATGGTGGAAAGTTACAGAAGGAGACATGGTGAAATGGGGAAATTGAGTGAGGGTGTTTTTGGAGCTTGTTATGCACATGGTGAGTTGGAGATGTTGGAAGGTGAAAGTGAGATGAGTTATGTGGTGCTTTCGAATTTGTATTGTGTAAAGGGGAAGTGGAAAGAAGCTGAGATGGTTAGGAAGGCTATGGCTGATGAAGGGGTGAAGAAGATGCCTGGTTGTAGTTGGATTGAAGTTAAGAACAAGGTGGTGGCTTTTGTTGCTGGTGGAGTTTTATGTGTAGAGAATGATGACATGTCTTCTTTATATATTTGCTTGAATATCAATTGAAGAATCCATGGTGAGGTAAGTAATTAAAGATGATGTAGAGTTTTGAGATCTTTTTTATCTCCGAGTTTAAGTTGAAGATCAAGATGGAAATATAAACCTCAAGAGAAGTAGAAACTAAGAAAGGCACACATATGGTGACTATTGAGTGTATTACGTGAGAAAATCAAATTCTATAGGAGAATATCAAGCAATGAGGAAGCTTGTGGATTTGTGTAAAGATTGATCTTCAAAACGGTCTGATGATGGAAACATTTATGTGTGTACATTTATAATATGTTTGTCTAAGAACATTTTCCATAACATTATTTTAAAAGTAAATAGAAGTAATTTTGCTCATTTTATTTATATATTATTTAAGGGAAATTGAGTAAACTAACTAATCATACCTCTGTAAGTTTTTTGATCAACTGCTAGAGATCTTACGAGTAAAGGTCATTGGTACTTTTACGAGAGCACTGTATTCCATGTTAAACTTTTCAACATGTCTTTAATGTAGCGTTCTCGATGAATATTAAATAAAGGTACATTTAGTGGTTTGTTTCACTTGAAGACCTAGAAAGAAGCTTAGTTCTTTGTTCATGCTCATTTTGAATTTGTTGGTCGTTAACTTTGCGAAGTCTTCTACCATTGTTTCATCTGTAGAACCGAATATTATGTTATTCAAGGCTCGTTTCAAACCATACACAACCTTATTTAGTTTGTAGCAGTAATATTTTCACACCCTCAGCTGGCGACGGAAATGTCGAGTTGTGCGACGTAGAGATAATTGGATCGAGGGAAATATATATATATATATATATATATATATATATTATATATATATATATATATATATATATATTGAACAATACACAAAAATATAACACAAACACTACTTTTTATTCATTATAATTTATTCTGGAGTTACATTGTTTGGTAGATCAAGCACACTTGTAACATCGCACAAATCAAGGTAAATTTTTCATTTTCAAAACCAAGCCAAAAACATTAAATCTTTACAAAAAACATAGTTTCCAAAAGTTATAATCGTGAAACAGAGTATCCCAAAATCAAATATCATAAAATCCAAAGGGTGTGCATGATCAAGCCTTTGCCTTGCCCCATCGTCTGAAGCACTGAAACCATAACAATTAAACTGTAAGTCAAAGCTTAGTGAGTTCCCCCAAAGTACCACATAGATAACAACATGAATATATGAGCCTTAAGCCTGAGTGGACCGCCTCGCACGACCTACAACCTATCTGGACCGCTCTCTGGTCCTTCGGCTTGAATGGACTGCCTCTCGGGCCTTTAGTCTATCTGAACCGCCCCGATTATCTTGGCCTTTAGCACAAAGCAGGACTGCCTCAATCCAACAAACCATAACATGTCGACATATACAACAACAATGAAAAGCCATCAAGTACATGTAATCATATAGATCTACCAATATAACATATACTCTGTGAACGCAGGTACATATCTACCAGTCTATCACATAACGAACATACCATCAATCCAATATACCAGGATATATAATCCAGTGGCCCGATATTCGTGCCTTCGACCTACGAGTAATGTGAGGAAAACTCACCTCACAGTTTGAAAGATAAAAGAAATGAATGCTGCTCCAAATGCCAACTCTACAGGTCACCTATACAAAAAACAATGACCTAATCTCAAACTATTGCTTAATTACCCAAAATACCCCTAAGTTAAACTTGGTTAAATTCCTGATCAAAGTCAAAGTCAAAGTAAAAAATACAAAGGAGTCAACATAGATTGAGTACGCCTAACATACTTAGCCTCTACGCTTAGCGTAGAAAACCCTTGGCCAAAATACGAGACCTTAGCCCAGTACGCGTAACGTACCACAAGGTACGCCCAATGTACTCAACCTGATCCAAATGTTCCTCATTAAGTGCTTATCGCATCACGATATCACGTCCAAAGCTCAGATCTAGTCCCACATATCATTCTAAGTCATAAAGTTTCCAACTTTATGACTTCCCATGGCTAGTAGTGGTCCAAAAACCAAAACTCTAACTTAAAACACCAACCCAAGCACCATAATTCTTGCATGGAGGGAAGAAAGGGACCAAGACCACATTATTATGATTCCTAGCACTCAAAAGCATCTGAAAAGACATCTCTTATGATTTAGAGTGTGCCATACTCATGAACACCA